ATGTATAAAACGTAAAAATAATCTAAAAGTAAAGACAAAACTCTAATTTTATTTATATAGATTTGTACCTCTGGTGATTTTTATTAGAAGTTTATTGAAGTAAATAAAGAACAATTTACAAACCATCCGACCAGTGTTTTTATTTAAAAAGTACGTAGGCCTATTTGATTGGCTTTGTTTTCTGAACTAAAATATCTATTTTCTTATCTATTTTGAGTTCCTGGTTTCGAAACATAATTTGGCAAAACAATTATTTATTCATTAAACAACTTGATCGGAAAATAATTTCTTAACATTGGAGGACAATTTTAATCATAAAAAACTTTTGAATTCCAATAAACCTAGCTCCTGTACCCGTGTTTTGCATCGGAGAGGATTTGGAAGAGAAAAAGTTTGAAACACGTCACATATATCAAATCCCACTCCAAACACGTCATGTTAATACGTTTACTTCCTTAAATTAAGAAAGTCACAATCTCCAATTAACAGGCTCGTAGCAAAAATTAAAAGTTTCACAATTCGAATAGTTTCTACCTTTTGGACCGTAAAATCAAAGCACTGCATTTACAGCTGACTTCGTTTAACATTCTGTTATCTACATTCTTCAAAAATGTAAACATTGTGAAACTTTGAAATCCCATGGGGCGTAACTCAAAGAAAACACGTTAAAAGTAATTGGTATATGTGTTAACCAGGAACAGGGCTACCTCTTGAATTTATATAGATAATAAATCGAAAAATAAAGAAAATATAAGTTGATTGATTATTGGCCGTTATAAGATAAACAATCACGAAACATGATTTGATTAAGTAACCACACATCACTGAGTCTATATCTTCATTCTCATGTAAAAATCGCTTCGATTGTGGCTATATATATTAGGGAAGTAAGATTTCACTGTACAACGAGCTCAGTAAGCTCGAGAACCAGCAATAAGTTGGAAATAACCGGCTGAACCTTTAACCATCCACTGGCCCGCTAGTCGCTACCCCAGGTCGGTCGGTAGGTAGCCCATCAATGGAACCCGTTAGGTTCGCCCCTGCCTCTCGCCGCAAGAGACAAGAATTTTGCCTTGTTCCCCCCGCCCTCGATTGTTTGAGGCGGGAAAACTATCTATGTGCTACGGCCCGCGCAACACAGGATATTGTTTTCGTATTATAACTGTGAACTAGCTTTTATGCACTCCCTTGGAGAATAATTCAAAACTGCATTCAAAAGAACATTTCTAATCCCACAGTATACTAGATATTTAAACTATAAACACTTTGGTGTTTGAAAAAATATTTTTGGACGATAAATTTTGCAATGTTTGAAATTATCCAAGATGGCCGCTTGCCTCCAAGGACTCAACAATAGGCCTACTTGTGCGACTATAAAGCAATAACTCCCCCCTTGCGCTTGCTAATTAGCTCGGTACATATTTTTATCCACAGTTGGCAGGACGATCGCCATTAAGATGACCAAAGATTACATTGGCATTTAGGTATTTAACCTGTAGAATAGTAATTTTTAACTAATCTGGAAGACAACTAATTAAAATGAAGTGCGAAAGATTGGTTATGAGAGTGCTCAATGCTTGAAGCATTATCCGTTTGTTAGAGGTGCGGATTTTCAAGCTTGTAGAACAAATAAATATTATACAAAGTAGAAGGGCAGGGGTGAAATTGACTGAAGTGACGGGATACCCGGTGGATTTTCAGTGACTGGATTCCAGTGGTATGCGGTAAAATATATAGTGACTGGCTTAGCAGCACAAATTTTACGTGACTGGCTTTCCCGTGCAAATGTGGTGGTGACTGCATTAGCATAGCAGTTTTTACGTAATTTATATTTTAGTATTTTTAAGAAAAAAAGAGATATATACATTCAGAAATGTCTAGGCTTAAGATATTTACCAATATATATTATATATATATCATAGTCTTGAAATATATTGGGGGGTGCAACTGACTGACTTCCAGTGTATATTTCATGTGACTGACTTCCCGGGTGCGGCCGTGTATATATATATATATATATCTATATATAGATATATAAAAATTTGAACGAATGGTGTTTTTGGCCTCTGGGGACATCAAAATGAAAAAGTAAATCGGTCCCGGGCTTAGGTCTTACCATGAGACCTACGGTAATAGCTACTTCCCTATAGGGAAATTCGCTAATACCCCCGCCGCAGCAAACCTGCAGACTAAGCGAATTTCCATTAACCTGATTGGATTTACACTAAAATGCCTCCATAAAAATAGCACATTTATTTCCTATTTAAATAGAATAAGTTTAACGAGTACTTAGGTTTGCTGCAACAGGGAGGATAAAAAAGATTTTTTTTATAAATTGATAATAGTTTAGTAAGAAATAAAAGTATTTTCCAAAATCGATCAAAATATGTTCATAAACAAGCAAACCACAACAGTTGACTTAATCTCCATAAGAATAACATGGGAATTTCAAAATTACAATTTTTTTGAATTTTCTCCGTAACAAATAGGCGCATAATAACGCTTCAATATACTAAATTATTGGTTTTTTTTAAGCTCTACAAAATGGTTTAAAAAGAAATTGTGAAATTTCGTGTTTTTAGGGTCAAAAATGGGAAAAACCTATTTTTACCCCATAAAACCCCCGTTCCCATAGTCCGATAATGCTGGTTCGCGAACTCATTCAAGTTTATCCCGCCTTACACCTTCAAACCAAATTTTATCAAAATCGGACAAAAATTACTCAAGTTATCGTGCGGATGGACACACATATAGATATATAAAAATTTAAACGAATGGTGTTTTTGGCCTCTGGGGACATCAAAATGAAAAAGTAAATCGGTCCCGGGCTTAGGTCTTACCATGAGACCTACGGTAATAGCTACTTCCCTATAGGGAAATTCGCTAATAGATTTCAGGAATTGGAGCTAATCGGTAACAATCATGAATATAACACCAGAAATCGGGGCTGTTTCGCAATGAGCTCTCACGCTCTCGAACTTTTCAAAAAGAAACCTTAATATGCTGGTTCAAAATTGTATAACAAAATTCCAAAAAGCATAACAGATGAGGTGTCAACAAAAAAATTCAAAATTAAATTGAAGCAGTACCTCATCAACAAAGCTATTTATTCTTTTGATTAGTTGTAGGAAGTAAAGTCAATTTTTGAATTGTTAATTCTAAGAAACCTTTGTTTTTCATTTTTCAATACCTGTATTTTACACTATTTATGTACGCCTATATATTGTATACTACTAACGAATAAAGATTATTTGAATTTGAGACAACACTGTTCGGCAAGTAGCCGGTCAAGGTCAATTGACATGCCGCTTGGTTTCACTTGGTTATCACTAAAAAAGCAAGCGACATTTCATAATCAAACATTTGACCACAAATTATAATCTTTTACCCATAATGTACTAGTAAATCTTTGTGTTTTATTGTTACAAATGTGTTGTTTTTTTTTTTTTTTTTTTTTTTTTTTTGTGAGTGGATGTATAGGTTTTATTATTGTCCATGTTATTATGGGTCATTTATAATTACTCATAATAACATGGATAAAAATTACTATCACATCACTCAAGAAAACAAACAAAAAAACACATTTGTAACAATAAAACACAAATATTCATGGATAAAATACGTATATTTACAGCTCGCATCCAAAACTCACGAGACGTGAACGCCGCACAACAGTAATGGCGACTGTCACCAAAGAAACAGCTAATTTATGCCGTATCAACAGCAACCGTGTCCCGTTTAAATTGTGCGTCTTTATTTTTAGCTACAGATCAATATAAATTACATCACGCTAACAAAATCCTTTATTGATTTATTAGTCATTGCCTAAATGACGATTCTCGTCATTTCAAATGTCAGCTGATTTATAAATATTATTTCCCAACTTGTCTGACATTATAATCACGTTGTTCTTGATACAAAAATAAACTCCGGAACAAAATATTACTATTGGTACCAACACAACTCGTTTCATGCAAGATTATCGGTGCTACGATTTATTGAACATGAATTAATGAATAATGAATTGACGCGCCCACTCAAAATCGTCTCGCGCCTAAATTTGTATTCAAACTATAACTGTAATAAAATTGACCTGTTAACCCATTCCCAAATAAAAAGAATGAAAGAATGTTGAAGACGGGTGGCGTCCGTTCTAGCACGCCAGGTTACAAAAGACTAAAGACGGGCAGTGCCCGCATAATACATTATTATATCTTGTTCTCATGACTAAAAACGGTCAGTCCTCTATGTTTTATTCATTACTCTATGCGTTGTCTGCTGGTAGCCTGCAAGTTTTTTTTTTATTATTGATTCGTTGTCATGACATTGTATCCTAACCCTAGTTGTGCAACAGCAGTTCGTTTCGTTGTTGTTATGGCGTTTCGTCGCAATGATTTATTCTTACAAAGTGATCGTTTTGCTCAGTTTGCTGATGATATTTTAGCGGAAAGTGGTTGTGAAGCGAGTGGTGATGAAGAGGACGAACGAAATATCAGTGATGAAGATGTAAGTTTTCTAAGTGTGTCTAGTCTACCTAGTTGTAGTTCGGCTTACCTAGCAACCTTGAATCCTACTCTTGATGAATATGAAGTTGATTTTCCGAATGTTGAAGAAAGTGACAATAAAAACATTCCAAATAATGTAAATATTGAAAATCAAGCTCTGAGTCCTAGGCGTAATAGGCGTAGACCTAGGCGTGAACCTATTCGCAGACGTAACCGTGTGAACCATAATGAACCCACACATTTATGCTACAAGTAATTTCTATGGTTTTTTCATATACAGTAACAATACAAACCCTGGTAATGTTTTCTAACTCGACCGCTTTTAGTGACATTAATTGAAACATTCTACTGTCAATTGTGTAAGTGATTTAAATCCTATATTGTAGAACAGATAACAACTAAGACTGATAACACTAAGACAGACAGATTAAGAAGACTGTGTGATAGTCCTGAAAATACAGTAATTAAACAACATCTACAATACAGTAGGCTTACAGTTTTATTTTTTGATTTTGTAAGGGCAGAAAATGCTTCATTCCTGTTGTAACCCATTTCTTCCAGTTGTTTGATATGAATTGAAAATAAACGATTCTGTGCTTTTTCACGATATAACTCATCATTTAGAAGTCTTGTGAACGCTGATTCTGCTTCAGTTAAGTTCTGAAACAAATAAGTGTTGATAGGTGAACAAATACTTTTCTTAAATTAAGATCAAGCTTAGGCCTAAACTCTATAGTTCAGAAAGATAGTGCAGACTATCAGCAGACCCTACCAACACAGACATTTAGGGTAATATGCGTTTCCTTGAGTGTTTCACCACTATTCTGGCCAGTCTCTACCTCTATATGCTTAGTATTGTTGTACTGTAGTAACTTACAGTAAAACCTCACTAACTCGACAATTTGTCGACCCAGAGGTTGTCAAGGAATCTATTATATTATTAAAGTGGTACAATCAAATTTTATGTAAGCGGTTAAGGTCATTTACCAAATAAAAATATAGGCATATGGCACATCAAAATGAAGCTTAGTGTGTGTAGATTTGCCGAAAAGTATTGATATGGACGAATTTCCTAAGGGCTCTGCCCCACAGGCTGATTTCCAAAGGGCTACGCCTGATGGCATGCTTCCAATGTTTAAATGATTAAATTTAATTTAGATAATGAAACAGCTGGTCAGTACAATGAACTGGTGTTTGTTTATTTACTCGAAAAAGATATTTGTGACGCTTTATGTAGATTAAAGAGGGTTATTTTTGGTTTTGAAGAAGTGAGGTTGTATGAGTTACGTTTTGTAAAGTATTGCTCAAAGTTTCATTTTTTAATTTATATAGTAAGACATGTGAAGAGGTTTGACTAAAATTGAAGAATTCTGTTAAAACATGTCATTCATGAAGCATCTATATGAAGCAATTAATGCTATTGCTACGCTAAGTTATGTTGTAATATTCTTATGGGTCTATTAATATAAAAGTAGGGGTTTGAAGGTAAGTAGGTTTACGCTTTTGAATCCTTTTTTTATTTCCAAACTAAATCATAGAGTTGCTGTATTTTAAAACACCAGCCCCACCACTTTAATGGCTCTCTAGGTCACATTTTCTTCCCGATGCAAAGCACAAGTATAGCAGCTTGTTAAATATTACTTCATTAACTTTTAAAAAAAAACATTTCACAAATCCAGCGTCAGCTGGTGAAACGGGTGATATTGTCAGATCTTAAACACTACAAAATTAAACTAAAATCTACACAGCTTAAACTAAAATACATTTACTTATCATTTAAATATTCGGAAATCAAATTATAATTTTTCTGTAAAAGGTAATGTTTGAAATCATTTTTAAATTTGAAACACTGTTAATTTCTTTGAAATTAGTGGGTAGACTGTTGTAAATCCTTAAACCCATAATATGGAGATTTTTCATATAAACATAGGATATTGTCCTGGATATTGAAAATTGTTGAGAGTGTAGGATACAGATGACTAATTTGTTTATCATTGTACATTTGATAATTAATTTTAAAACTCACCATAATTTTAAATATATAAAGTGAAGGCATAGTTAATATCTCATATTTAGCAAATAAAGCTTTGCATGAGGTTCTTTTAAGTAGGCATAAATGATCAAATCCTTATACTGTAATATCTTTTGAATTTTGAAAACTGCTTTAGAATAAGAAGTTGCCCCCCATAATTCAATCCCGTATTGCAAGACAGAAAATAACATTGCATAGTATAGTGTGAGTTTAGTTTTTAAACCAATTACATTTTTCCAAACATACATGTTAAGCAAGCAGTATTGACAGTGGCGTAACTAAGTCTGACTGCGTCCCAATGCAAGTATTCCTCATGTGCCCCTATTCGTAGACTCATACTCCCCCCATAACCTCCAACGAAACTAACAACGACATTTCTCCGTACTTCCACACTTCCTGGATACTATTTCACTACTTACGACATTGTACAAGCTCTATCCAATTAGAGAAAGATTATTCAAAGAAATATAAGTTATTATGTACGTAAAAAATTAACTGAAAGTAAAATTAAGTTACCAAAGATTTCCAAACACCATTAACATAGGATTACATTACATACTTAAAATTAATTAATGTACTTTTTAGGACAATAAAATATAGACTACTTCTTACTTTACTTAATACTAGCTATTAGCCCGTCCAACGTACGGGAATCAAGTAGTCATATAATACTGAATATAATTCAGAACTGCTAGTTTACACGCATAAAGGAAAATTCTGGCAGACTTAATATAGAAAATTTCTTGTTAATACCACGTGACCATCTAATTCTTTCGTCTGATTTTAGGCTGTGATGCCTAATTCTAGGGGGGGAATAAACTAGTATTCACCTAAGTCAGGCTAGGCCTATCCCTAGAACCGGCCACACTCAAATTTCTTCCCCGGAGTGCTCAGAAGGAGCCGAGAAAAATCCAGGGGTCGATACGAAGTTGTCATGGCTTTGACTGATCAATTTATTTAAATTTAATCGAAGGCTCAGAGTTCTAGAAGCACTCAGGAAATCCTGCAGACGCCCAGTTGGAGCTGTATCATCCCAGCCTTCATAAAAGTGTTTTGGTAAATGTTGCCTAACTTTTATACTGACTCTGTAGGACCGACAAGTATTCTATCTTATCCAATTTGATAGAACTACTCGTGTGAACTTTGAAACAAATGGTTAATCACGTTGGTAATTGATACTATGAAAAAGTCACCAAGTCTAGCTGAAAACAAATTCATAAATGAGGATATTTTTGAAATACAGAATAACTAATCAAACAACCTTTTTATTTTTAACACTTTTATTTCTTATATTTTCTTCCTTGAAAATGTCAACAGTTTTTCACTTATTTTTAATCAAGATTATCACTTAGCCTATAATTTCTCGAAAGAAATCTACGTGTGAGCTATGAAGAGCAGACAAGAGACATACGTCACTGCCACAAAAATTATTCTCTACTGTGAATGAATGAACTGAGTGTTTATTTAGTGTGAAGCCCCGCCCACCGTCTAACGGGACATGGGGTAGGAAAAGAGAAAGTTTGCTCTAAAGCCTGGTTCACATGCCCTCCCTTACCCTCGGCGTCAGTCGCTTGCAGATTGAACACCATCCGTTCAAATTCATATATATATATATATTTTATTTTTTTTTATATGTGTCCGTTAGCGCGATAACTCGAGCAAAAACAATCCGATTTTGATGAAATTCGGCACAAACGTGTAAACCTATGTTTATTCGAACGAGTTCGCGAACCAGCATGATCGGACCATGGGATCGGGGGTTTATGGGGGGTTTTATGGGGTAAAAATGGGTTTTTCCCATTTTTGACTCAAAATACATAAAATTTTGCAATTTCTTTCCAAACTATTTTGTAGAGCTTAAAAAAACAAATAATTTAGTATATTGAAGCGTTATAATGCACCTAATCGTTACGGAGAAAATTCCAAAAAATTGTAAATTTAAAATTCCCATGTTATTCTTATGGAGAATAAGTAAACTGTTGTAGTTTGCTTGTTTATTAACATATTTTGCCCAAATTTGGAAAATGTTTTTATTTCTTACTAACTATTAACATTTTACATAAAAAACACTTTTACCCTCCCTGTTGCAGCAAACCTAAGTATGTGTTAAACTGATTCTATTTAAATAAGGAATGTGATATTTTTAAGGAGACGTTTTAGTGTAAATCCAATCAGGCAAATGGAAATTCGCTTAGTCTGCAGGTTTGCTGCGGCGGGGGTATTTTATATAATACAAATTTCAATATTAATCAACATCAAATATAATAATTTATTAGTCTTTGTTTTTATAAACAGATGGTTTATTTTAATTTATTTTAAACAATTGAGAAGAGATGTGTTAAGAATTTAAGAAAGTGGTCAAGAACATAAGTAGAAATGTTAATAAAATATTAACATTCCTTAAAGAGAAATGTTATAAAATATTTGTTATGTATCAGAATTAAATCGGTTCTTTATTAGATAATATTTTGTAAAAGTTCTTTATTTCACACGAGTTCTAACATAGTGGCGACCGTGATAGGACATTTTATAGTTAAAATTCAGAGTAGGACTAAGCTTATATTTTACTTTACAATGGATAAGCTGAAGTCATTAAAGACAAAAAGGACTCAACTAAGAAGGACTTTTACAAAGTGTAGTAATGAAATGGATAAATTACTGGCAGAGGATATTAAAGATGAAGCAGCAATTAAAAGTAATCTAAACAAGTTGCAAGATAAAGCTGATAGGCTTTTTAAGCTAGATGAAGACATCGAGGAAGCCTTGTTTGAAGATCCTGCAACAACGGAAGAGGACTTAGAAGCTGAGTTTGATATTACAGAATCTTACAGAGACATGTTATCTTCAATGAGAGCTAAGTATGACCATTTCATTAGGCCGGACGCACACAGATCAAGCATTTCACCTGAAGCAAGTGTTGCGAGGCAAAATGTTTCGCTTACGAGCACCCCACGTATTTCAATGGGACGCCGCACACTGATCAAGCAAATGTTGCGAGGCGCCTCGCAACGCCTTGAAACATTTGAGCAGTTGCTCGACGAATGGATCCCATACAGCACGATGTTTGATGTTTCAAGGAGCAAAACGTTCTGCGCATGCGCCAAATCCCTTCTAGCTAGTAAAGCTTAGTGGCTTTCAAAATTCAATTGACCGTTTGTTGATTAAAAAATAACTCTTCTTTGAAAAATGAATTTAGAAGTTGCGTTTAAACTTAACAATTATATTTTGAATTTATATTGAACAATACTGTTGTTTAATTTTTCTTGCTACCATTTTGGTTGTCATGCAAAGTAGTAAAATAATTAAGAAATTACCAAGGTTATTCAGTTCATTAATATATATATTATTACCTATTTACCTATTTATATAACCATCACGACACTATCTAATAATAATTTCTTCGGTATTTAAAACCCTTTCTATAAAATAGTATAGCATTTATTCGACAATGATTGTAAAATTTCCCTAAATCTGATTTAATTTCTGAGAGGAAAGCTGTCTATCAACAGATTGATTGGGTGAACCCAATGTTGTCTTTCTATTTAGTCCAGCATTTTGCAAAAACTGACATACAGCAATAGTCGACTTCCTCGTCACATATGTTCAAACAATACTGCAGTATAAGACG